ATTGTATATTTCATACGATTTTCACAAACGGGACCAGGCTCTGTACAACTAAGCTTAGGCTTATTCCTGATTCACACATCTGTCACCATTTATTTTTAATTAATCAAACTGTTGCATTCGCATTCTATTAAGATTAGTTATTGTAGTTAATTGTTGCATTGGCATTATATTAATTTGTGACAAATGGAAATAAAACAAAACAATACAATACTTTTTGAGAAAAAAGTAAAAAATCATTCACAACCTTAAATCCACAAGTGAGCTTCTTTGATAATAATTCGCTAGGTTGCTTTCGGGATAAATGCAAAAGATCCCATATGCCTTTAAGAATCATTGTATAGGTCAGAAGCAAGCTGTTTACATATTTTCAAAAATGGAATATGTAACTTAGGTGTGTTTAGGTTTATAGCAGGTTGTTTACACAATTTTAAAATGAAGTGTAAAGTGAACTCAAAACTATAGTGTATGGGGTCTTAATAGGATATGACAGCACATTTTGCCGTATACGTTGTAGCGACACGTAATTAAAACACCTTTGTTCGTTTGGCCGACCATACCTGCGTCGGACTCTGGAGACACATGTCACTGCACAAACAAACGCACATGCATGTAAATATCGCCATCTTTGTTTACCGTTGCCTTCAGTAAAGTTTATACATAAGTTTCATCACGTTTTCATCCGTTGGCATCGTATTCTACTGTATATATTTTCGTCACCATCGTTAGTAAATATCTTCGTCCATTTTCGTCTTCGTCAACTGTACATAACTGTTAGTTTTCGTGAGCGTTATTTCAGCGATTTTCGGTGGGAATAAAACCCGAACTGTTGTTCGACGGAACGTATGGCTCCGACCAAGTTGCGGTGCACACGCCGTCGGACTATACGATGCTGCAGGCCCTCGATCATCGGACAGACGTAGACATCAGTCATAAGAGGTGAGTCGGCGTTTGCAAATAACATTAGATTTCCTATAACGCAAATAGCAATTGTTACTTTTGGAAAAAAATGTCGCAACCTAACGCCACTTCAGCGGTTGTGTTATATATGGAGAGTCAAAGAAATTTTTGTAAGTATTTCCTAACAAAAATTGGAAATGTTTCTCAGTCCCAGATTCATGTCTTATCATCATTTTTGCAATGACTGACCTTTATTGAGATTATATATGAAGAAAAAAAGTGGCGTCAGGTTGCAACATTTTTCCTTACTTTTTAATGGAACAATAAATAATCTGAAATTGATAGAAAGTAGTGTATGAAGTGTTTATGGAATCGACACGTACATTTATTCGTATATGCCTAGGTATATATAGCAAGTTGTTAAATTGTAAAACCGTAGTATACAGAAGTGTTTATAAGTAGTGTATGGAGTCATTATAGGAATTCACATGTACAGTTACTCGTATAAGTAGCAAGTTGTTAAACATTTTTAATGGAATAATAACTGGGCATTGCTTATAATGAGCACATAACATTTATCAGCCTGCAAAAAGGAACATTTCTAGACAACCACATGCCAGGTAATATATCTCAGTGACACGATCGCCCTTTTCCCGCCGAGACGTAAACCTTTCGGATCCCAATGAATGAGCTGTTAAAATTGCCACCTGAAACGAACACCGAACAAACGTTGGGCTAGATTAACCATCCCCAGCGAGTAAGCACACCGCGTCTTTAGAATCCCTCGCCCCGTGCGAGCCGGTCGGATCCTGCCTCATCGGATGACACGGGAGTATTTGGGACGTCTTTTGTTGTTCCGTGATCTCTCCTCGATTATTAGCCCGGTTCGACCGGGTGGGATCCAGGGTGTTCTTTTCTAAACCGGTCGGTTCAATATCCGGTCCTGAGTCTTGAGTTGGCCTGATTTGAAAGGCATGATTGCCGCAGAGAAGTGCTGTGGACCCCAGCGGTGTTAAGTTGAAAGGGGGAAAAGTGTACGGTTTAAATTAACAGGAACTGGTACAATAAACGGAGCTAGGTTCTTAAGCTTTACATTCGCGATTCTGCTGGGACTATATGGCAGTTTTCCAAATCCCGGTCGTCTCCAGCATTGGAAGCATAAACATCCATGTTGCAACATTAATGATGGTACCAATATGGAAAAACTGGTAACCCGTTTTGGTACTGGTTGTGTCGCTGAAGAAAGCAAGCTTGTAAAATAAAGTCTGGTTCCACAATTTTCTGATAGCGAAAAATTTTGTTTTTTGTCAAAGTATTTTAATGCAACTCAACATATATATATTTTTTTTTACAGACCTACCAAATCGAAAGTTAATAATTGCCACTATGTATTAAGAGGTTTGTGTCACGCACACACATTTATTCGCATCTTGTCGAATTGTTAAGCCAGTGTTATTTACATACTTATTAATAAACCCATTGCCAGTAGCATCACACAGTTTTACATTGATTGACCAAATTTAAACACAATTCAAACCAAACGAAAACAAATAACCATAGTCCGTGCATTCCCATAAAACTCTGAGCACACGCAATCACAATGAACACTTACACAGGTGCTCTGACTACAATTCACATTTCCCTATGGGCACCTGAACTTGCAGCATGACGCCCTATAGTACATGAAGAGGCGAAGCAGTCCACCACTTGACAGATGATAAGCCTGGCCTACGGCAATCGCCAGCCCAGATCTCCCCTGACTAAAACTATACGAGCATTGGTGCCGAACTTCTGTTTGGACACACTCCAGTCCACTCGAAATCAAGATTCCTCGACACGACCGGTATGAACGTATACAACACGTTCCCATCATTATAATTATGAGAACATTACAAAAAAGGGGACTCAAGACACTACTGCAATTTGCGCTTTTAAGTTGTGCAAAAA